CATTATCAACTGTTTGTTGTGTCTTACGTCACTAAATTTTAGAATTTTTTTACGAATTTCTGCAGAAAATGTAAAATATTACCTTTGACAAGGAAAACTTCTTTCAAGGCTAACCCAAGTATATGTTGTATGTGTACGCATCAGCTGCAGAGGCTACCGCTTTTTTCGCGGAACGTTTTCCTTTTTTATTCAACTTTTTTAGATAACTTTTGTGACTAGTTCTATATAACCATTGTTATCACCTCCAATATCCTTTTGAATTAGAGGCGAAACATTCACGAATAAGGAAAGGATTGTAACACCTAATGCCAAGTGAGCAAGCAAAACTCTGAAAATGACTAGATAAGAGTCGCAGAAAAAATTCTTCCGGCTCTGCACGGATTTCAGAAGGACTTTGGACCGTTGGCTTTTGCGCTGATAAGCCAGACAAAAAGCACTATTCTAAAAGCGGCTCAGAAATTATGGAAAAAAAAAGTAATCCAGCGACAACAGCGACATTTTAGCTGTTCCACTGCATTACCCTCTTCTACGATAATCTTTAGGTTTCAAACACACTAAAAGAATTTTTCTTACCTTAAATTTTTTCCAAGAAAATAGCCAAGAATGATCAATTCCCAGGAACTCCTAACATGGTGAATTTTTGTTTATAACTGTGTTGAATAAGGTAGAAGTATGGAAATTGATTCCTGCTTACCACTCTCCAAATGCATATCGTCGATTGACCAAATATCGATGGCTGACCTAGCTTTACCAACCATTCCCTGTAATTTCCGAAGCTCCTGCTTTTGCGGATATAAGACTGTTCTTTTGCCAAAAAAAATAATTTTTTTACCTCCTTAAAAGGTATGAACAAAAAATAATAGCGCCTAGCAGTTTGGTAAACAATAGTCACTCTGCTTGCAGGGACTGATCTGTCCCGTAGAAGAATGCAGGAAATTTGCACTTTTTGAGTAAGAATGGAAAGTTTTGTTTGAAAACTGTACCAGAACGTTATAATTAAATCTATGATATTAGCAGCGCTGCTTTTCCGTTGTAGCATTAACGCGCCGACCAAATCCTATTATTGAACTCTTCAATCCCTTCTCCACTTAATCACTAACTAGTTGTTTTAATAACTACAAACTTTTCTAATAAGAGCTTCTTAGTCGTTACAACTGTTTACCTTTATTTTAAACATAAAAATACTAAAGACACAAAAGACTGGCCAGCCTACGTTTATATTAAGTGAGGAAACCTCGCAATTTAAGAATAGGCAAGTCAAGTAACCGTAGCTCATTTTGCAGTACAGTATCAAATGTAATTGGCAACAGCAAAAATTATCGAAAATCTCTCTTAAAATAAGTTTTTTAAGCTGTATTTATTTCAAAAATGGTTTTGAAAGACATTTTTCCGTTTTTTTCTAGCGCATTAAGGAGACCAACTATTACTCAGTTCATTAGTTTGAGTTAATGATGTGGTAGTAACAATAATCTCTCATTAAACGTCTACTCACATTTATTTTTTCCACTTAGCGCCAAACTACCAAAATTTTAACCTTTATACCTAACCTTCCTCTAAAATTTTAGCACCTGGCGCTCAGTTCTAAACTTTTTTCTCTTCTAAGCTCAATAATTTTTAGTCCCTTTCGTTCCTTACAATTCTACTTCTCAAAAAATCTTATGTGTCAATGCGCGACTAATTATTTAGTAGCCCTGAGAGAGTAAACAAAAGATTTTCATTCGCCCTTCTCACCTGGACTATCGTTATAATTAAGAGCAAAAGCAATATTTCTGATGGAGGAAGAGAGGAATTGCATTTAAAAACTCATTAATATTCCTAAGATAGTCGCTTGGGCGGTTAAAATGAATAAAAACCGAGTGTCATCAGCTAACTGAAATATCTGTAGTGTCACCTACGTATTATGGCAGAATTGTCACTCTTACTGCTTAGTGAGCCTCAGTTGAAGAGAAGATGGAAAGAACTAACGAAATTTCCTATGAATTTTAAGTGTGATACCTTCGTTATCCCATACGTTTTACAAATCTGTTGTAAATGTAGTAAGGAATCGGAAATTTTCAAATATTTTAAAAAATTATATGAAGTTTACCTTCTTCTTCTGAAAATTTAAGTGCTTTCATTACCAGAGGGGCGTAAAGTCCGTCTCATTTATTACCGCCTCTTGTTTATAAATTGTTGGGCTAGAGACGTGAACCCGTGTCGTGAAAATTAAGCCTAAAATACATGATATTCTTGTGGAAAATTGTACTAGCGGTTAATGCTATTAAAGAAGAAATTGAGACGGTAGTACTTAACAAATGCATAGGTCCTTCGGGAATTTAAATGAAGTCTGTTTAGCGCGCTAACGAAAAAAAAAAAGTTAACGCGTTTACAAAACACAATTATTATAAGCGCCAAATGTTCTCTAAGGAAAGAAGCTATGATTGACCGTATTTTACTGACCTGAAACCAAAAACAACGAGTGCCACTGGCAATACAGCCCGCCGACTTAACTTTGAATTCTAAGTTGAAGCAATCCTTAAAACTCCCTTCGAAGAGATCATTGAAGAGATGGAAAGGTGACAACAACCAGGAGTAACCAAAGTACGTGGGCGGCCACGAAGTATGGGGTATCGGTGTCAGTTTTAACATCACACGCGAAAAGTCTGCGAACGAGCGACTAAACTACCGAACAGTAGGGTGCTTCTGTGGTGTGATGTCCAAATTGACGTTAGTGGCTCAAAATTTCACCCTATTCATCCTTATTGAGGCTAGTTTCTTAAAACGTGTAGCTAAGCGGCCAGCAAAAACCTCCAGTTTTTACTCCTAACTCGGCTAGCTGTTCTTATAGGACAAGAAACTAAAGGAAACTAAAATTCTAAATGTCTAAACGAAGAGGACCAGTCAGTGTCTTCCATTTCACGAAAAAAAAAAAAAAAAGCTGCTACCCCAAATCAAGTCATACCACTTGCAAATATAGTTCATCAGTAAACTGGTCACCATGGGCAAGGTTCCCACAAACGCTTTCAAAATTTTTGGGGAATATTCAAATTACAAAAAACGTTATCACTTAATGAAAACGAAGCGTAAAAGCATCTTACAAATATTCGGTGTCTCCTTGCTACGCTGTAAAAGTAAGAAATGC